AAGTTGAGTTAGCGGATGGGTGAGTGGCACACTAAAGAAGGAAAAACCATGCGAAACGGCCCAGAACCCGAGAAATGGGGACCACTTCCTTGCCCGTTGATTTGAGCATTGATGCGACTATCATCGCTGTGCCCTCTCTCAACGCTACGCTCTCTCACCTATCCAATCACTCACCACGTATAGACCTGCGGCGAGTGATCAGATGATCGGTGGCGCTGCACTGACCAGCGCGCGGGTGCTTAATAGGTCAACGAGGTCAACTCCTCCTGTGCAAATTGTGCCTTCAGTCGCCACACTTAGGAGCTCCGCGGTCCTCAACCAGGTGAATTCTTCCTAATTCGATTTCCCCTCTGATCGTGAATTCGTCCTTTAAAGTGACTGCGTTCGAACTGTTTTTTTTTTTCTTCTGAATGACGAACTTCTCTTCGAACGAAGTTACAAGGCGACGATGCGCAGCGATAGGAGCATTGTCTTGCAGGCAAAGGTCATAGGATCGGGTCTTAGAGTTTCAGGCATTTGGTCTCCTTGTAACACATCTAGAAAGGCTTTCAACAACCTACAATACCGCTACTATTTTGTTCATCGACGAGATTGCGCGGTCGGAAACCGTCGCAAACCGTCGGCTCGCATAACTCTTTAAAAATGGTTCGCTCGACCTGCAGTTTATACCATCTGATAGCTCTGCTCGAGATCTCACAGATGGTTAAATTCAATTTCTGAAAGAGCTCCATCTAGGATTGCGCCATGCACTCGACCTCCATGTCCGAGAAGTAATGAATATGCTTTGTATGTGATGCGCATTATAAGTCCCTCTATGCAGCCTGATCATCCCACAGCAAACATGGATCTCAAAACCTGAGAATACGCCACGTACCACCGGTCCACCATATGGTGAGATTGAACGAATGTTTTTTTTGCGAATTCCACGATCTTTAATATCTTCTAGAGCGCTAATTGGCTAACCGTGCGCTGATCAACGCATTCTTCATCCAAGTGAGAATCTTCGAACAGTTTCCAGCAGTAGTAGTAGACCTATTATGTGCATCCCCACATTTAGAGGAGATGATTTGCGGAAACCTGAGAGCATAGCAGGAATCTCTCCACAGACGTAGACTCCAGTTACTTCTCTGTAAGATTGATTAGAATATTTTGGTAACGGGTAAGCGCTCCGTCCGTGTGTGTGCACCCAAACATCCCTCTCCGTCATGCCCTAAAATGAAAAAATCAGAGTTTTGCTCTTCCAGATGACTCTACAGAGCTGAGGGCGTGCACCGTTCGATTCCCATGAAAAATAGTACCGAATGGTGTACGAACTCAGGTTTCACACAAAACTTGTTTTTTCTTATTTTTTGCTCCATTGCCGATCGTCCTCCAGCCTTTGGCGCCACGTGCGATTTAGCGAGAATTTCTCTCGCACCGACGTGGACTCCGGTCACTTGTCTGTAGCGAAAGAGGTAGAAATTTTGGTCAAGGGTAAGCTTTCCTTCCGTGGTGTGGCCCCAAACATCACACCTCGTCATGACCCTTGGCGAGTGTATGATCAGATTTTTGTTTGGTTATCCAGATGAACTAGAAGACTGAGATGTCACCATTCAATTTCTCCATAACAAATACTGTCGAACGCGTATACAACTCACTTTTTTGGAGAACATCGGTTGACCAGCGCTAAGATCCATTTTGGGATTTCGCAATTCCCGGTTTCGCTCATTTCGAAGGGAAGTTTAAGAAATTCGAGAAGGGAGGACGACGCTCTATCGTAGAGTAAGTTTACTTGTATGTTGGAAAAGATGATACACTCGCTTGACGACGTGTTTCTTCCCGGGGGGGCCTCATACATGCGTCTCCGTCATGCCCTGAAATAAAAACCAGATTTTTTGGTCTCCAGGTGGCTCTACGGATCTGTGGTGTACAACGTTCGATTCGCATGCCAAAATGCCATCGAACGATATACATCAACAGTTCCCACTTGAAACGTTCTTTGCACCGTTTTCGGCCTTTTCCTTATCGCCTATCGCCTTCCTCACCTGGCCACCCACGTGCTATTCACGTGCGCGGAGACGTGGTGACTTTCCAGCGCACTTTCGACACGCATAGCGGTTGTATCGATCGGCTGCCCGCCAGCTACGAGAAAAGCCATCGCGCTGCACGTAAGCTCTCACGCTTCCGCGCACGTGAATAGAGCACCGTGGGTGGCAGAAGGCTGAGGGAAGGCGACGGCGATGAGGAAAAGGCCGAAAACGGTGGAAAAACGAAAGTTTCAAGTGGGAACTGAGATGTATATCGTTCGATTAACATTTTTGCATGGGAATTGAACAGGTGTACACCACATATCCGCAGAGCACCGTGGGAGACCAAAAAATCTGGTTTTCGTTTTCAGGGCATGACGGAGAGCGATGTTTGAGGCCACACCAGGGAAGAAACACAGCTCAAGCCCGAGCGTATCATCTTTTTCCAACAAACAAGTATACTACGCTTACGATAGGAAGTAGAGTTCGTCCCTCCCTTCTCGAATTTCCTCAAAAATCCCTTTCGAAAATTGCGAAATGTCACAAAATGGATCTTAGCGGCAGGTAAACGAGATGTTCTCCAAAAAGTGAGTTGATAACCGTCGGACAGTATTTGTATGAAGAATTGAATGGTGCAATCTCAGTCTTCTAGGTGTCATCTGGTAACCAAAAAAATTCTGATCATATCGCAAGCATGACGAGGTGTGATGTTTGGGGGTCGCACTACGGAAAGAAGACTCACCTGCCACCAAGGTTTCTATGTAATTTCCTACAGACAAGTAACCGTAGGCTTAACGCCAGTAAAGGAAATTCGTCGCTGCTCCACAGCTTTCTATCATACATCTGCTCTAAACATGGAACAGTGTCGCAAAAAATGGGGCGAGCGTGTGAGCTTTGGGGCCCCCTACGAGAATGAATGTCATATCGTAATCAGGGCATCGAATTACGCCAATAGGCAAAAGTTTCGACGAAAAATGAAACTTTAGATTTTGGGATTAGTCATAGTGAATAATGATGCGCAACTGGCAATAGGGGAAGGCTGAAAACGGATGAAAAACAAAGTTTCAACTGGAGCGAGTAATGTATATCATTCGATAGCATTTTTCACGCGGAATCCATGGGCACATTTCCGCGTCTGCGAGTTCATCTGGAAATTGCAAAAATATCTGATGTCATTTTCAGGGCATGACGGAGAGTGATGTTTGGGGCCACACCACGGAAGGAAAGCTTACCCTTGACCAAATTTTCTAACTTTTTCCTACAGACACGTGACTCGGAGTCCACGGTCGGTGGAGAGAATTCTCGCTAAATCGCACGTGGCGCAATGGCTGGTGAGGCACGATCGCAATGGGGAGCGAAAAGTGAGAAAAACAAAGTTTTGTGTGAAACCTGAGTTGTACAGCATTCGGTACAGTTTTTCATGGGAAAATCGAAACGGTGCACCCCTCAGCTCTGTAGAGTTCATCTGGAAGAGCAAAAAACTTTGATTTCATTTTAAGGGCATTGACGGAGAGGGATGTTTGGGCCACACCACGGACGGAGCGCTTACCCGCTACCATAATATTCTAAAGTCAATTTCAGGAGAAGTAACTGGAGTCTACGGGCTGTGGAGAGATTCCTGGCTATCTTCTCAGTTTCCGCAAATGGTCAATAATAGGTCTACTACTACTGCTGGAAACTGTTCGAAGATTCTCACTTGTAGCTGGAAGAATGGGTGATCAGCGGCACGGTTAGCCATTAGCGCTCATAGAACGAACTGAAAAAGTGTGAATTTCGAAAAAAAACATCATTCAATCTCACATATGGTGGGCCGGTTGGGTACGTGGCGTTATCTGAGGGTGCTGAGATCCATGTTTCTGTGGGTGATCAGGCCTGCATAGCGAGGACTTATATGGCGCATCACCATACAAAGCATATTCATTACTTCTCGGGATGGAGTCGAGTGCATGGCGCAATCCTAGATGGAGCTCTTTCAGCAATTGAATTTAACCATCTTGGTAGATCTCGCAGCAGAGCTATTCAGATGGTATAAAACTGCAGGCGAGCGATCCATTTTTAAAGAGTTTATGGCGATGCCGACGGTTTGCCGACGGTTTCCGACACGTCGCAATCCGTCGATTGACAAAAATTAGTGGCGTAGGGGTATTGTATTTATCAACACATGCCCGCAGTTGTCGGAGAGTTTGCGAATAAGATGCAGAATTGGCCATGATTACTTAAGGCGCTCGTAGTTCACCCTTCGGATCTTTTGGCGGAAAACAGTGGTGGCATTTTTGTTAAAGAGATTGAACTATCCCTAAGTTCAACACGTAACCGAGTCTAAGATTTCTTGCTATTTCCGGGAAAGTGATTGGATTACTCAGCGCCAAACACCAAACATCAAATCGTCTCTAAACTCTTAGGATGAAACTCAATTTTACGCCATGACCTTAGATGATATCTGGCACATGTGTCCTAAACATTAAAATATAATTATTAACATGGAGCTGTTTAGGATTAGATTCCCTCAGAAAACACAATTTTGATTCATACCTGCTTGTTGAATAGCTCCACCTTGATTCATGGCATTTCTCAGCGGTTTTCCTTTTGCTAGTGGCGCTCCCACTTAGCACTTTCGGGTTCACATATAACCCGCACTTCATATTATTCTAACGATGCTTAGAATGTAACATTATTAGAATTGGTTATGTAGTAATCAGGTTATTTAGGAGATTAATTCACCTTTATTATGTGCGATTAATTACAGATGGACTGTACATAAGTGGTTTGCCGACTATTTCCCAGTTACACTCCATAAAACTGTCGATCTTCCACGAAATCATGTAGGTATCTTTTATGAATAGGAAGAACCGGCTTCACTTTTGTCACAACTTCCTCTCTTCAATATTCTAGAAGAAGTTTCCGACTATGGGTATTTTTTACAGCACCTACCAAAACTAATCGTTTTTTTTAAAGAATTACCTTATTGGCTGTCACCCGCACGGAATTATCGCCATGGCAGTGTTCGCGAATTTTGCCACCAATGGTACTGGAAAATATGACAAGGTGAGATGGTTTTAAGTCGGGTGAAAATCTGTCGAGGATTTGTCGACGATTCGTCGAGGATTTCCGCCTGTTCAGTCCCGCTCCACTGCGCGAACATTCACTGTTGCCACGCGCGAGCCGTCTGTGCTCTCCGCGTGTACGTTCACTCTCGACGCCTCTCTCAGACAGTAGATCTATATTTACCCTCGTTTATAGTGACGACCCCTCTCAGATCGGGATATTGATTTGACCCCCCTAACTTTGCCTTGATGTGAATAAGCGAGTTCCATCACTGCACAGCAAAGCGTTAGGTTCAGCGCGGTTTATCTGTGGGGCAGTTTTGCCGAAACCCCTCTCGAAACCGTCAAAATCTACACTCTCGATGAAAAGGTTCCATCCCCCCATTTCTCGAATTTTGGAGCAGTATGTGGTCGGGTTAGATATAGCTGATGTGCTACTACCGGGCCATATTGAAATTGATCTAAAAGCTTTACACTCGAAGAGATACGCTCTCTCAAATTTTGTCGATGCAGCGTCGAGGATCCCGAATTTTTCATGCGAGCTTTTGCCACTCAAAAGGCAATATCTCTCTAATTCTGCAAGATTTTGGAAAAACCAAGACACTCTTCAAAGCGAAAGGTTCGCCCTTTCTAACAGTCTATTTAGCTTCCTTCTGCACTTTCTAGGTAGATATTTGCGTCGAGAATCCATCAAGGATGATTCTCGAACGCTCAAATAGCCGCTCCCTTCTTCACCATTGCAAATATAAATTGTTAACAGCGCTCGAAGTATGTCTACAATGAATTTTCCCAAGCACAAGAAAAAGGGCAATTGTCATCGTCATCGATATCGTCTCAGTATAAGTCATGCATCCGACCTCCTTTCAAGTTGTAGAATCTATTGGAAGGTGTTACACATGTGGTGATGCCCTGTTGACAGAAACTGTGTTGTAGTTAACACATTTCGTAACTCCCGGAACCTAAGAATTGCTTAATTCGCCCATGATTTTTCCAGAACTCTTGCCGGTTTGCGATAGCTCCCTAACAACTGCCTCATTTTCGACGAGGTACTGAGGGGGAGAAAGAGGGCCTAGATAAAGGAGGTGCCTCTACAGCACGTTACACGTTGCGGAGATGCAGTTTCATTCCTTGTACTACTTTCAAATACGTCCTTCTCATAAAAGTAAAGGAATGGCGCGACTGGACCTGCACAGAATATTTTATCTCATGTTTTCTCACATATCCTTGTTTTCTCCTGCGCTACACCCTCTCTCTCTCCTGTCTGACTTTGCTGGCCCCAGAGAGTACGACCCCCCATGACCCACCCTGAAAAGTACGACCTCGAGAATTTCCTTGACCGATATTCGTCCTGGCCCGCAGTGACCCGCTTCAAACAGGGGCCTCTACTGTTGTATCTTCAAATAACCCTATATTTTTTTGTGCATATACTACGCAAATTTCCCAGATTAAACGCGACGCGGGCGCGGATGTGAAAAATCGCCTGTCCCACGCGGCCAAAAAAGGCTAGAACATGCATTGCTTATCTGTGGGAACTGAGCAGTCTTCGATTAGTGGTGCGCCTAATGGTTGTCGAATAGTGGTCATCTCTACTGTGATCGACTATATTATACGCCATGCGGATCTGAAGTCGACGCTATTAGACATAAGTACTGCAATATTTATGACAAATATACGGAATAGGAATCGCCCCGCCCTAGTCTGTATTGCCAGAATCCCGTCGAATCCCGTTTTACTGTGGCTTCAGACGAGGGATCCATGCGACGAAGGATCCGTTATTGGCGAGAAGCTATTAGAGACGATCCTCACTTGATCGAGCAGAGGAGGAGAAGAATCGTTGTTACTCTCTTCTGCGGTAGTGGATGGCGGGGGCGTGAGCTCGAAATGGATCATATCCTTCAGGTCCTTTAGGCGCTTGAGTCACCGAAAAGATATCGAATTTGAGATGGTAATATTGCTCTAGTATAAAAAGGTACCTAAAAATAAGAAAGCAAGCCTCTGAAAGGTTATTTTCCTTCAGATTAGGATGCACTTCTTTTTCCTGTCACAAATTCGGAGTTTTCAGTTTCCGGGTATTCAATTTTCGGTATGCACTCTGTCGTCGAACTTCAAAATGATGATACGACGTGAGCTGCTCCTTCTCCTGGGCCTCATCGACGTTTCGAAGGAGAGCATCGAGTACGTGCTCAACGGTCCTGAAACCGGACGAGCAGTTGTTATTGTGGTTGGTGAGTAGTAAATGTTGCAGGCCTGTGATCGTGTATTGTTCAGTAAGATTAATTGTAAAAAAGAGCTTCTGTATAACTGCAGATCAATAAAATAGAAAAATGTCACATTTTTCACTAGGCGGTGCTGAGGAAGCACTCGATGCGCATCCTGGTCACCACAAGCTCGTCTTGAAGTCTCGTAAAGGATTTGTGAGAGAGGCGCTGAAAACAGGAGCACATCTCGTTCCAGTTTACTCTTTTGGGGAGAATGAGATATTCAAACAGGTAGGTAGAGAGCATGATTATATATTTGTTATTTACACAAACTATCCAGTATTCCAACTCATATGTAGTTGCATCGTCAGCCATATACTTTCAGGTTCACAACCCAAAGAATCGCTTTTGCGGAGTTTTCAGTCATGGGTGAAGCGCATCGGTGGCTACACCCTTCCGTGGTTTTATGGACGAGGTATTTTGCAGGTCAGCTATGTACACCTTTCGGCTTGAAGCCGTAATTTCTGACAACCAAGTCGGCCGGAGCCTTGAATGCTTGCAGACGCATGGGGGTGTGAGCAAACAAACTGCCGTTAGTACCCGTCGAAGCCAAAACGGACCTGTGAGAGAGGACTAAACCTAAGAGAAAGGAAAGACCTACGCTTTTGCAGGTCCATCCTCTCTTTAAGGCTTATGGTTAGCCCAGAGGTAAGCATCGGATTGAAGCGATTTTAAGGACCAAGTTGCAGTAGACCGTCGACCGTCGGGGATCCCATCCCCTCCCCAACATTCAGTATACGCTTCCAGCAGAAACGCCAAAAGGGCTGGTTTACTTACTCAGCGAACACATTCGGGGGGAGCGCTTTTGAAGGGTACCCGACAGAAAGCCCATCGCGCAGCAGGAAGGCAGCGGATGAGTCGCAGCGCGTGATGAGCGATTTAGGGCGTACAATGGTAAATTCCATTTTGCTAGACGGAAACCATTACAGTACACCACTTCCGCCTCCTTGCCGGCGACAGGCATCCTGTCAGGCACCTGCCTATGGAATACTGCTCAACAGCTAGCCCACCTCTCGCCGTAAAATCACCACCCTTTCCTCCGTAGCAGCCAAGCTTCTCCTTCGTGTGACGCATATACCTCCCCAGGGCGCTCTCTATAATGACTACAATCGCTTCATTCTAGCGTTCCTTATATGAAAGGCATTCGAATAGTTCCATAACCATCACGTTCGCTATGTGTTAACTCCACTAGAATTTATATTTGGGAGCTTTTCGGTCACTATGATTTAGAATATAAACTTACCGAGCTTTCGGAAACGCTGTATTTTTCAGCTCAATTTTGGCTATCTTCCATATCGAAAGCCCATCGATACCGTAGTTGGAGCTCCTATACCAGTTGAAAAGGTCGCGAATCCAACACAGGAACAAATCGACGAACTTCACGAGCTCTATATGGAGAAGCTAAACAGTTTGTTCGAAGAACACAAACAGCGATTTGGAGTGGCACCCGAAACAAAACTCGTCATTGAATGAACAGGATTTTTATTCGGCGTTTAGTAGTTGTTAGGATATTTATATGCTGTGCTCATTAGTAAAACGTTCTATTAAGCTTCTTAAAGTGGCAGTCTTCTACATGACAAGTAACTTTTGCCAGAGGTTTAGTTGGAGCTTCTGAACTGCAAAAGCTATAAAAGGACAAAGGGTAAAGCATTTGCACCTAACCAATCCCCTGGGATGCGGAACGCATTATAGTTCCATTTGTACATTCGTAATGGCCTTTGAATGCAATGTGGCCTATACAAAGATTTGCGGGGGACAGCCGATGAACAAGTCAGTATTTCTTTTATCCCCCAGGCAAGTTTGGTACCAATTAACCAATCCCGGAGGGATGGAAGGCTTGGTTGGACCGGGCGACTCACGATCCAGGATTTGCTCCCCGGACCGTGATCTTCCGTGGGAAGCATGCCACTTGCCACTACATTATGAAAATAATAAATAAAAAATAAGCAAACAGCTCTAAAATTCTGAATAGCCAGTAAACATTAGACACATGTGCTTCTAGTATTTCTCCAATCATTTTTATCGTTTTGATTGTGGCGGCAGAGGGTGCATGTGCACTGTTGTGGTGGTTTGCGGTGGTTCATTATCAAGTGCATTAGCCACAGTGAGGCCAGGATCATGTGCTGTCAGCTGTGGCGAGTTTGTTCACAAGTGTATAACTTTCACGCCGATAACTTGCACAGTGCCGTTCGTGTCATGGTCGCCGGCCGTCGTTCATTTCTTCTATTCAATTTCCATCGAGATTTCATTTTATCCCGCGAACTGTCTACATCTTCACTTGAATGGTCAACTGTCTGCTCAACGTCATATTTGAGTAATTCGGGATTTCGAACGAAGATCCCCTATTATTCTGAAAGGGTTCACTTGGGAGTACTAGCCAATACTCGCGGGGTTCAGCAAATGTGCTAGGTGGCTGACAGAGGACGGATGAAAAATGTAAATTAATTCCTCAGCTCGCCAAATTTCATAGCACACATTCCACGCTGTGCTTTTTTGCAAAAGTCGCAATTCTCAGGAGGTTGGGGCCTGCCCTACCCCTCCCCTCATCTCAATGGTCCCCACTTTGTTTCATCGTTTGCTTAGCTCGCTATATCTGTGCTACTTCCAGATACTCGCGTCCAACTATTATTTGTCGGTAGTTACCGCTTCAATATTCCTCTCTTCTTTTTATATCTTTGGTCTTCTAAGTCTGCTACTGATTTATTAGTAGTGATGCTTCACCATGGCGGAGGAGCGCAAAAAAAAAATGGAGAGAGACAGTTACAAAGTACATTTTTCTCCAAATTCTGTTATCCTTTTAAGTTTTACTTGTTTCGATTATTTACCTTGCCCTAATGGAAGCTAAGGAGTTTCGCCATGTTGGGTGCCGTAGCATTTTGTTTTACTGTACTTGTTACTTTTTGCCTCAAGCTCGCAAGTGCGTTTCATATCTCAATTTTATGTATACACAACAAATAGGAAGTTGAAAGCGTCGCCTATGTGGCTGTGAATAATTTTGCCGAGCAATGATTTTGTTTTGGTGGAGAGTCGAGAGACAAATTGAATTTAAATATTTTTGCTAGTTTCCATTACCGGTTCTTTGCTTTAATCTAGCGAAATGATTGGTTTTTTTGTTTGTTTTCCACAATGTAGAAGACAGGCGGCGAAAATGATCGATTTGGCAATGTTTCGTGATTATATATTTCAACAGCACGTGATCGATGAGTCTCTCGAGTCTTTCTGTTCCAGCTAGGGTAAGGACAAAATGATAATATATTTTAAGGCACTTTAGCGATGACCATTCCCTTCTTTGGCTGCGGCCACGCGTTCTGACTTCTCAGAGTCGGGTATTTCAATTCTAAATGGATGTTAAGTCGCTCAGATTTTTGGCTTTTAGCAGGACGACTTGCAGGTAGCCAGATGTTCATGCCATTGTTCGATTTGCTTTTTTAGATCTCCATGTTACACAGTGCCAATTGCTGAGTCTGGCGTAACGGGGGTGTAAGGTTTGGTGTTTGGCGCGGTGTGTGCGGTCGGCGTTGACGGATAGCAGAGAGATAAAATTATTGATTTTGTATTGAATGTCATTGAGATTCATTCATCGATTTGTAAAACATAAAGTGGTTGTGTTTGTGTCGCGCGGATCCCGGATGTGATGTGTTTAGTGTACTTTTTGCCAAAATTATTCGTAGGCGTTGGGAGGCGCGCAAGCAGTAGTTTAGTCTTTCGTTTCGCATCGTGCGCTTAGACGGAAACCATACGAAAGATTACCCTTCCCTTGTGCTCTTAGTAGAGGAGGACGAGGTACAAGATGTGATTGGCCCGTATCGTGCGCGTGTTAACGAGGCGCCATTGTTTACTCACCACTTCTGCAGAGCGAGCAGCAGTACAAAAAAGTGAGGCTGCGAGAGATGACGAGAGACAAGGGAGCTGGAGCGGTAAAATGTTGCAGGCCCACCCGATACTCGGCCTGAAGTGGACTCCGATCAGCCAACGAATTTCTACTTTCACAGATCCAACATGTGGTGGTTGAGGAATCTCGCGTCCGCGGCAGCATGACACAACGCTCGATTTCTACAACCCTTGGACTATGGCCTCGTGATATTCACTTTACAAGCAAGAAAATACATCGGCATTTTCAAATGCACCTGATTATTGATAGTGAGTCAAAATGACGTGGCCGGTCGTATTCGTAATAAGCGGTATCCGTCCAATTCGCTTTACTCGTTTTTATACAAATACAGAACACAGGTGACTATTAATTCGATGGCGAAATTTCGTTTACAGGATTTCACTTTACGGAGTCTCATTTAAGTTGACAACACTAACGTTTACTTCTTTGAGATAAGGTGGCGGAAACGCTTCAATCGATCTGTCAAGCTCTTCCTTGCAAACCGGAGGACTTCTGCAGACAGGTCGTATGCATACTCGTTGCACATTAATTGCACTTCTAGGGCCATTAGACGCTTCCTCTCAACCGTTCTATCTCTCCACAGAGTCGATAATTGATGATCGAGCAGATGCAGATACGCTGAAAAGTGGGAGGGCAACCTCTCTTTGTTCCACTGCCTTAGTTTATATAAAGCTGCTCTAAGGATACGTCATCTTGAAGTTCAATGGTAAGCAAGGCGTGTTCTGGTAAGCGTTTAGGGAGAGTCGGGGATGGAGGAGTCGAGGGTGTGAGTCGTAACGGGATAAGGGTATGACCAGCAAGCGGTGATATGAGCCATTATTCACATTTTGTCACAAGTCCCTGATTCAAGCTAAGTTTTTGGGCGTTTTCGCATTGGATTAAGAATGTTGTTCGTTTAGCGTGCTCCTAAAATCCACCTTCATTCAAATCAAAGCGAATTTCGAGAGAGGTGAAGTGTACTGCGTGAGTATGAGTGATAGTTTACATAACTTATGGCTCGTGACGAGTAGGGGGGGAAGGGTGGGGTGCGCTCGCCATGTATTTAGTCTGCGTACCTCCATTTTCTTTTCTGTAGAATATTTGTTCCGTCCTAAATCTCTTAACTTTCAGTTTAATCGTAAATGTGTAATGTATATTATTCATTATAATTTTAATTATAGATTTAAAATTTTATATTAAAAAATTTAATTTTATCTAATAAGTTTCTTTTTCTGTTCGCGTATTCCACTTCGTATTTGCTAAGAAGAACGCACATATTAATAGTTTCATGTTTTGCTCATAAATTTTGGTCTAAATTCTATATACATCTCCAACAGTCTTTCAGCGCATCAATAAACAGCATTTTGATTAGGCCAGCTCCTCCTTGGCTCGGAATGCTTGATACAATTTGTTGAGCTTCTATGTGGAAAGCGAGGTTGTCAAATCGGTCAGGCTGAGGAGCTCTCAGTCGTTTCTTTTGGGCTAACGAAGCGGATTTTTCAGGTGTAACACTGCCTACTTTTTTTTTTTCGATATTTATCAGGAGCTGCAAAGCTTATGTGTGCCGCTGCATTTGGGCGAATATCACCATCGACAAAGGTTTCGTATTACTACTGGCCTGTATTTCTCGCTGCCTCTGTCTAGGCGTCTCTTTTCAGCGTTAATGGAGTTTTTCTACGTATTTTGGAGTTCAGGTGTGCTGTAAGTTATTTCTCTTCCGAGAGGGTGTTGCATATAACTCATGCAACTTTGCAACGAAACCTTATGGTAAATTGATAGAAGGTTGAATGTTGGTTATGAGTCAAAGTATGACTTCAAGTAAGGTTGGTCTAATTGTTTGATTGACGAAAACGCTAATCGCAAAATTTTCTCGTAATTGGCCCGCTGGAATTAGCGAAGTATGGATGCCCTCGTATCTTGGCGCAGCGCTGATTTGGCATCCGAATCTAAAGTCCAATACCTAGTATGCAGAATTTGCACACAGGGAATTGATTGGAGACCACTGTGATCGCCTAAACAGATTTTCCTTCACAGGTTCAGGTACACTTTGGGTTTTCTCATGTTTTGTAGTCATCAGCCATGCTCTAGTCGACTTACCGTAGAATCTCAATTCAAAGTTCCATGTGAATTTGCCGACCGCTCCCTGATCGGTGCTTCAGCATCAAACAGTGGTAATGTGTGTTCGAATCTGAGAAAGGGCATGAACGTTTCTGCCATAGATATCATTCAAGTTCGATCAATTTTCCATGTGACATCTTTAATTCGAGCGATTTTGAAGTTTTCGTTTGCAGAATTTGTTTGTCCACATGGTAATTACTCCAAGCATGGTAGACTGGCAGAATGATCACGCGCCTTACACGAGCCATTGGGCCAAAAGCAGAAGCTCGTGCTTCGTGTTCTGTCATCACTTTTGGATAAGCCTAACCACTGTCAATTCATATGCCCTATGGATGCATTTATTTGGTAAGAGCGAGTGTTAGTTTAAGTTCCGCTACGGACATAGATTGTTTATTTAGTTGGGTAAGCTTAGTAAGGAATTCTAGTCATTCTCTTTAGAGAAAAACCTATACTGTATCTGCGTGGATAGAACCTTCGCGTCTCAACACTCTGTCGTTAAAAAAGTGGCGTCTTTCTTGGGCAATTAACTCTTTTATGGCCTACTTCGGAAATTTGGTGCGATAAACCGCCCTAAATAGCGCTGGTGATAATGTAGCCGCATCGGCGACTTGGTCGCGAGGTCGCATGCCACAATGGCACAAGCTGGCCTTTTTTGAAATCTCATCGCAGGTGTGCTGAGACAGCAAGCTACTATGTGCACTTTTTTGCAGGCTCTGTGATTTCTTATAGAAAAAGCAACAAAATTTATGCCCAGACAGGCTCGTGGCCGTCGAATGTTGTCGTCAGTCAGCTCAAATATTTCGTTTCGGCCTCAACGCGTTCTTTCCGTGTTTTCATTTTCACAGAAAAAATTACTGGTGGCCTCGAAACTTTTCCTTTGAACATTTTCTTGAGTTCTTTAGGAACTGCAGCTTATAGAGAAACACCTCAGGGGACACATGAGTGTATTCAATATTTTGGAGGGTGGTGCATGCTCCCAACGAGAAAAGGGAATGCAGTGTAAATTCGTTTCGGCAAACATTTCAATCGCCTACTGTTGTTTAGAAAGGCTATTCCTCGCGCTCTCTCAATTTGTGTCCAGAATAATAGCATTGCTTGATTTTTTGGCAATTTTTTAGCTTGAATGGGAGACACCAATTGAGAAGAAACTTTTATGCTTTCGTTTCTGTATTTGAAGTAATTTTCTAATCTTACAGAATTCCAGCCTTTTGTGGAACTTATATAAAAATAGCTCGAGGCATGTGTTCACTCTACTGGTGTTTATCGATTCAAAGTACTGTGTGCACAAGGCTGGGCTTTAGTATATTATTCGTTTATTGAATAAAAGGTAAGGATTTTCAAAAATGGCAATTTTCTTCGAACAACTTAACACTATCTTCCCACTATATCTCATTTCCTCGAACTGTTGAAAAACGTGACTCTATCTAAGAGAGGCAGAGTGCTAGTTAAAATGGAATTGTTACGTCATCTTCAGCAATGGGCGCGTCACGTCGCTGTCCGGCGACTCCGCCTTTCTTTGTCCGCTCTGTCGACGGCTTCTGTGGGGTGACGTGCGCGCGAAGAAATCGCTGTTTTACATTGATTGGCCCCCACAAGGGTAGCGGTAAATACATAAATTCATTCAAATCCCACGTACTGAGTGCTAAATACGGTTAGAATAATCATGGGACGTTTACCAAAAGAATGGCATGCATAGCGATACACTATTGAACTCCGCATTGTCAGATTTATTAGACAATAATATTTCTCAGTAGTTGCAATGTATGCACATGAGATTTGATTCGATGGCACATGAGGTATTTCTTCTTCCAGGGTTCTTTCACCTTTCAATGGCATATTTTATACTCTTAGCGCCTGGTATTATTAGCGATAGGACTCGCCAAAACGTGGCGGATATGCTAGTGAATGGGTTCACGGTGGAGTTGTTAGCACTTCTACGAAATTGGCACACGAGTAGTCCGGGTAGATAATTCTTGTTCGTTCTTCTGTTGAAATCGCTATTATTCTACGCATTCTTTCTACACCTTAGAGTTTTGTAAGCTAGAATTGGTTCTCGTGAACACAGACCCTGGTTCCAACCCCCTGGCCTCCTTTAGATGTATCGCAGGGACTTACAAATGAAGCTTTTAGATTCCAAGGCACCCAAGACGGCGAAGATTCTCCTTCGTGTTACTATCATCAGATATTAAACTTGAGTGTAATGAGAGAGTCGAGGTTCAAAAAATGGCTTGAAACTTTTGTCTGTAGTGGTAGTTTGGGTGATGGGCATCACCGATCACCGGATGTGACCTTCCATGGCGTCGGCGCGGGCGCATTCTAGAGTCAGTTGGGCGCACTATTTTGCTCCTTAGTCGCGAAAAATGCACTGATCCAACTAAGTAACGCATTATATATGTAAAACGATGGGGCCTAGAGCTCACGCTTCATAAGTTCTAACTTACTTGCTGACTTGTTAAGTGTGCCATCCTATCATGTGTTAGTTGGCACAAATGGGTTAGATGACTGTGTATTTATTAATGCATTTATGATCCCTAAGTGGTGTATTCTCGACTTCAAATGTGTAAACGTTCAAAGGTTAGGGCGTTGTATAGTTAACAGGTACCCCTGTATTGCCTTCGTGCGCTTTACGATGCGCCGCTTTGTAATACGCTGAATTCGCAGTACCTTGACAGCTGTTAGGTTCGTCAAAGATGTCGTCAAGTTGGTGCCGCGGGCATTTGGTCTCACTACTGGCCACATGGCTAGGGTGGTGTGCAGTTGTTGATAATTGTGGGAATCTCTTGCGTGAAGTGGTGAAGTCCCTCATAGCAGTGAGGCGTCCAGCGATAAGAGTCTTGGGGGCTTGAGAGAGGGAAATTATGGAGTGAAGAGAAAAGGCATCTTTCCGAAAGTGCTGAAAGATGCGCATTTCAAGCGAAGGATAGGCCCCTAGCGCCTAGCAGCGACATCAGCGACGCTTGCCTACCTTTCAATGGAGTGCCCCTTGCCGTCAGAATATAGCCTTGGACACTACCCGTTCAGCAGCGAAGCAGAGCAGAGCGTTCACGATGGTGATGAGATGCACATCAATGTGGATATCGGGCGGCGTAAACGTGGTCTTATTTCTCGAGTTAAAAAGCATTTTTCATGTTTTTGTTTCCTTCATCCGTGCACCACTGACCACCCCAACCTAGACCTCTGATGGGCTGCATTTCCATCGAAAAATCTGCTTTGGGTATGCACATTTCCTTGACCTTTTGCGGTGGATCATTCCAATATTGGTTTGAAACGGCTAAAACCGAAGCTTCGATATTCTGATTAAACAGTCGCTTTCAGATGGACAGTGCACAAATGGTTTGCCGACTACTTTCCGGTCACTCTTCACAAAACTGTCGATCTATCACCGAACCATGTGGGTGCATACAATGAAAATTGACTTACCTTACCATACCTGGAAAGGCATTCAGCTTCGCATGGAACTTATAAGAGACGATAGACCCATATATTTTGATAGTGCTTCGAACATCGACTACAAATGTGAAAAATAAAACTGCAAAATGAACTCTCCAAGTAAGTTGTGAGCAGTTAAAGTTGGTTGGAACTGAAGCGTTTCACATGAATCGTGGTACCGTCCAGGCATTCAAAGTCGCCATGGAGTAGTTGTAGTGCTCTCGAAAGTTGCACTACCTCCCGGTTGGAGAGAGAGAGCACTACCACTGCTCCACTGCGACTTTGAAAGCCCGAAAGCTAGCACGGTTTATATGTAATGCTTTACTTCCAACTAATTTGACTGCTCACAACTCCCTTGGCAAGTTCATTTTGCAGTTTTAGTTTTAATACTTTGTAAGCCCAGCGTTTGAAGACGACATATCTGGGTCATCAAGTCGAAGCTTCCATGGAAGTTGATGCACTCCCTGCGTTACGCTGGGATAAGCCAGGCGGTTGTCACCCATGTGTAATTTTTCAGTGCTCCTTTTTACTTTCGATCAAGAATCTTGAAAAATTCCCGAAAAAATAGTTCAGATTATCGAACACTCGACGATGGAATTCATTTACATATTAATAGTATATTTGCCCAATTCTTATAATCACTTCCTCGAGCCATACCTAAAAGGGGAAAACGGAAAGCTAGGGAATTTGGGTTGCTGAACTTAAGACTTCAGTCTTTCAGTTATTAGTAAGTTAGTGAAGATACTTCGCACTAAAGTGCTATCTATTGGTTAGGAACAATACAAACGACCACATTTACACTTTATAGTTTTACATTTTTTAATCAACTTAGTTTTCATTCATATTAGTCAATATAGCAATTCATTTGCATGCTCCTCTGCATGAAAGTTGCGTTACATCAATGTTATTCGTCTTTCCCCTGTGTCTTTTATGCCCATCCCACACTCACTGATGGCCGGCGGCAGCGGTCAACACTTACGTTGTTACGGAGTAACAAGGGGGGTCGTACCCACTTAGTCAGCTCGAAATCATGTGGGAGTGAAGTGAAAAACCGAGCATTCCGTGGTCAGAGGTTGTGCGAGTAGAGGTGCGCGCAGATAAAAATTTGCTGTTCAGCCGGCGTATATACTTACCCCCCCTAGAAAGGACAGTGAAGATTATAGGGCAAAATTAGGCAAATTGGTGGAAAAATGGCAAAAGTGGTAGGAAAATTAGGGGTTTGTGGGAAATTATGGCGAAAAGTTTTTTACTGTTCAGGCGCTATATACCCCCCCGCTCGACGCATTTGGGAGGAAACTGCGGAGTCTTGAGAGTTGATTGTAGTGGAAGGTTAGTGTATAGCGAGGAATATAAGTGAGCGAAGGTGTCGGAACGGGGGGTCGTACCCAAATCCATCTGGGGGAGGGGTCGAAAATTTTTCAGATAGGGAACAACGATTTAGGTAATAGAATAAGGGCATTGAGAAAATATAGTTCGTCTGAGGAAAAGACCCAAAAAACCAAAACCACAGAACCGTATCTATTATTTATGTTTATATGGTTTTTTCTTTCTTAATTCAAAACAATAGTCGGATGTGGACGATAGCGAAGGTATGGCGTTCAAAGGAGACAAAACACTGCGAGAATTCTCGCTTTTCGAGAGAGCACGAGGATGGCGGGAAGCGTTGCAAGTGTGTCGATGGTTGCAGGCCTGAAGAATAACGCGTCACCGCACACTTTTGTGGCGAAGTGAAGTGAAGATAGAGATAAGACCTTTACAAATTTCCTCGCGATATCTTCCCAAAGTCGGCTACAGCGGGCTCGCTTATAAGGAGGAGTCGGAGGCGCGCACAAAAATTCATCCACCGATCGCAAACGCAAGCTCTTTCAGTTCCGGGGTTAACTGCTGATGAAATATGAGACTTCTCTATTTGAAGATGATTAGACATTGTCATGTTTTCTCAATATTAGCTGTTAATCATCGGTCGACTCAAAAATTAAGAGAATAACAGACGCAGACAAGAATAACAGAGAAAAGAACTGAGTTACAGTTAGTGTAAGCCAAATACAGTATAGGTCAAAGAGCAAAATGGCAGCGGGTTGCAGCGGCCAGGCGGAACTTGCCAAGCTGTAACGCGCATTTCAACACCTGTGCTTAGGGAGGCTGCCCACCTTACGGAAACAATTTCTTGAATGATCTAAGATCTAGTGACCCGTGCCTTTAGGTCTGAGGAAACAATGTTAAGTAGCAGCATTTAGCAGAAAAATAACTAGTAGCAAAATACTCGTGGAGGAATAGTAACTCTTTTTCAGAATTACCTTGTGGCTGCCATCCTCATGGAATTATCGCTATGGCCGTTTATGCAAACTTCGCCACCAATGGCACCGAGAAGTATACTAAAGTAAGATTGATGGAAATTGTTTTCTTCTTTAGTTCAAGTTTCAGTATCAAATTTCGAAATATTTCAGTTCCCGGGCATACGCTTTTTGGTGTGCACTTTGACATTCAACTTCAAAATGATGATCAGACGTGAACTTCTTCTTCTACTCGGCTGCATAGATGCGTCAAAGGAGAGTATCGAATACGTTCTCGACAGCCCTGAAACCGGTCGCGCAGTCGTTATAGTGGTCGGTGAGTGAATGAGGTCAAAACACTCCACTAGGGGCATCTCACGAAAAGTTCGATTCTTCAAGCGAAAGCCATGCTGTGTAAGTAATAGTGGAGTAGCCGATTCAAGAAATGAAGGCAACCAATAATTTCTACCCCTGATGTATAAGGTTCACCGAAGGGTTATGAATTTGCAAAAAAATGTGGTCTCCTCGCTGTCCCCCAAGAGGCCCATCGCGCTGCGAAGGAAGGGACGTAGATGCGGCAATGGACGAGTTCCAGCGCGTGCTGTGCGATGCGAGACGTAGTATGGTAGACTTTATTTAACCTGACGCATACCCAGGGTCAACCCAGCGTTGCGCAAATTCCAAAGTTTTTACGACCCCTGCCTTTTGGAGAGTATCAATACGACCCCCCCCGTAAGCTGATGTATTAGCTATTTGTGTTCTTTTACATATTTCTATGCCCATCATCGATGTATGGGCCTTCATCGACGTGGAGAGAAGTGGTGCGCAGTGGGAAGTCCTCGCGCTTTGTCTCGCTTGGAGGGAATCGAAGCAACATGAAGTTTTATTCATTATATAGAAAGAATTTCCAATTTTTTCAATGATGCTAGGCATGGTTGTGATCGTAGAGACTTCTACTTTTAGAAAACTACCATGCTTTTTTTTCGAACTCCCAAATCACCCTTTTATAAACTCAAAAACTAAATCGCGCAGCAATTACGTTACGACACGGACCTCGTTATTTGCAAGGTTATATCATTCTTCAGAAGCGGCTTCATAAGATGGGATACAAAAACTTGAAAACCACAAATAATTTTCTTTCCAAAAGTTTTTAAAATTTCGCAAAGTTCAGTTCTTCAGAAAATCGTCCCGTTATTCCGTTTTTTGTGCACAAGCGAGTTTCTGACATTCAAGCATGCATAACCTCCTTCATAATCAACTTGCAGATGTCGAAAGCTAGTCAGAGACTA